GGGAGTGTGGAGTACTGGAGATCAGATGGGGGAGTGTGGAGTACTGGAGATCAGTCGGGGGAGATGTAGCCCCTAACAGTTTTGCTCTCAAGGACAGAAGCTGGAATTGTATTTGGGCAGAGGTATTGGTGGTCAGCAACACACATAGCTCATTTGCCTGTTTTGACATGTATAAAACCACACGTGCGTATGCGTGTGTTTGTGACAGTGGTCTATCGTGTAAATATGCAGAGGGGGTTAAGGGCAACAGAGAACAGCCACCGGTTTGAAATCAGGGAAGGTAGGATAGGAATTTGTCATTGCTAACATTTTAGTCTGGTTTTTACTACTATTCTGAGGTTGGTGCATGTTTTTGCATTCTCGGCTCCAGTGACATTGTTGAGAGAATAATGAGACTTTCTGTATTTTGGTGGATGGGAAAACAGTCTGCTGGAAGGAAAAGGCCATTAAATAGTTAATTTATCTTCAGTGTCCCTGGATCCTTGGACAGTATTTACATTATATTCCATATTCAACAACTGTCAAGCATGTTCTTCCAAATTTATTTTGTCTATAAAAATGCTTTTAAAATGATCCATTTTAGATATTAAATAACAGTATTAATAATTTTGAATTAGTACTAAATGTATCGTTTCATTGCTCTTCCAATATGTACTAAATGAAAAGAGAAAGTGATAAATGTGAAAAGTGATTTAGGTCAATATGTTTAAATTCAATAAAACACAAATTGAAGGACCTGTGTTATTTCTGCGATCATATCAATATATATGACAGAGGCCCCTGCACGTAGCTTCTAGAAGTAGAGAAGGGCAGTTATGTGCAGAAAGCTCCTGTTTTCCTGATCGTGGGTCTCACCTGCTCTTATTGATCAATCCTGGTTCAGAAGAAGCAAGTGTGCTTGTATTAGATTATACTCTGTGCTAGCCACATGGCTTTCTGTCAGACCAAAGTTTTCAATTTAATGACTGATTAGAAATAATCTAGACCTGTAATAAAAAGCCGGAATATATGTCATGGGTTGGCTACAATGACTCTATTAAATGAAATCTCTTTGGTGTAGTGAGGTGAGTACTCAGACCAGCCGTGTGGAGTGGAGCTGTTTGCAATACTTTCCTTCTGCAGATTATTAAGTAGCCATAATTTTCTAAAATATCCCATCTTTTGAGAATTTTTAGCAACAGTCTCATTTAATAATAATATCCGATTTGCACATTGGAATGCTAACCTTTATACTAGAATTTTTAAATATATTGAAAGTTCTATGTTAATAATAGAAGGCCGATTCTAACTAATCATTCCAAAGCAGAATAAATTATTAACTTGCTAGCAATTTGGCTTTCATATATCCCTAACCTGATGTCCAAATGAACATAAAAATACTTAAATATTTCATTTGACCATTCATACATTCAAAATTGTTAGCATGACAAAGAAACTGCTGTATTTTTGTCATTTACTGATAAAAATCATAATCATTTGTATTGTCATTTAAGGTAAACAGTTTTAAAACATACAAACTAAAGTGAAGAAACACACTGTTATCTCTTCTGAAGTGATTAAGTTTAAGTTTTTTTAAACTAGCTGTCTTTCCGTAAGGTCGTGTACAGTGGGACCCGCTCTAAGACCCCCATCTGCATTTCACGTTAGACGTTCTCCTGTGCCGAATCAGCGTCCTCACTGCTTCCCTTTCCCCAGTGACAGAATGAGGTGCAGCAGGGCCAGGGAGCCTGTGGTCCCCAGTGGGAAGAGAAGAGCAAGCCTTTGAGCTGAATGGGTCTGACTTGCAAAACGCGTCCTGACCCTCTGGCTGCTACAGTCCCAGCAGTAGATGAGGGACACAAAAGGAGCTCAGTGACATCTTTAGAGGTTCCTGTCTCATAGCGCTTCATCAGGGCTTTTTATTTCTTTAAAGCTCACAGATCTTTTGCATATCTATTATGGTTTCCGATTGTGTGGTTTTATGGGATTTCTGTGTGTGAGAACGTATGTGTCTCTGTGTCTACATGTGTTTCTTGTGCTTTTCCTTTGCTCTTGTTCTCCTGTTTCTATGTTATCTTATTTTTATTTTATAGATGATGGTTTGTTTTCTAGTGAGGGAGAGAGGGAAAGGGTGTTGATGTGGTTGGGAGGAGAGGTAAAGATAATCTGAGAGGCACTGGGGGAGGGGAAACTAATTAGAATATTCCATATGAAAAAAATGTTTTCGATAAAATAAAAATTGGGAAACACAAAGAATTCCCTCTAGGCGTCCTTCATTATGGGAAACTTTCTGACTGAAATAAACTTTAACTGCTGAGAAATGACAAATACAAGAATTTATTTGAGTTCACAAAAGAGATCTGCTAAGATCTGTATGTTTAGAATTAACTAGATACGCCATGGTCATGAGTTTCCTGGGTCTGGAGTAACTTTTAGTTTAGTGACTCATGAATGGTCACATTCTCTTGCTGCTACACATCGTTGTGACACAGCCAAGACTCTCTATTTGAGTCTTGGCACCCCCCTTGCATTGGCCGGCTCTGTGGTTGGTTACTCCATTTCTCCACAATTTCGTTCTTGGCTGGCTTTCATCCTGGAAGGCCCCATGTTTTCCAGTAAGGTGGTGTTTCTGCAGTGACTTCCTTTGCTACTTCCTGTTCTCCCTGAGTCTGCTTCCCATTACCAGTGTCACACAGAGATCTTCACCCTGCTAGCTGCCATGGCTGCTGTGCTCCAGCATGGTTGACCCCTGTAGCTAGCTGTGGGAAACCTCGGGGTCTCTTTGTTCTGTGGTCCCTGTGGCAGTCACAGGAAGAGTGTCATCGTGACATCATAGAGAAGGGCAGCAAGCATCTCATGTCGCCAGTGGAAGTCTCCAATGCCATTTCTGCGGCTCTACCAGATCTGAGATGATATGAACAGGGATATGTCATGAGGCGACGGTAAACCTTTCAGTCATTCCTGTTTCTAATTTGTTATGACTACTATATAAATGAAAAGAAAATGCTTTAGTTCAATGTAGTGAGTCATTGTTTTGCTTATTAACTTTATTCACTGTCACTATTTATAGCTAAGCATATCATTTTGACACAATTTAATGCTTAATAGTAAAGGAATAAGATTAAAACATGGGAAAGTTGTGCAGTCATCATACAAATAATTTTATAAAAAAGTATCCTTCACATTTCAAAGTTTATCTTTAGGGTGTAGGAAAATACTAGAATTTACCCTTCCCTCCTCTGTTAGGATTAAAATCAAAACCACTTGAGGGTGTTTTCTCTTACTGCTCACTTTTTAATTTACCTCTTATTTTACCCAGTGAAGTCTGAAAGATTCAGGTCACCTTGCTCTGTGTCAAGCTATTCTGTGTTTAAAAATCTATGTCACCTGATACTAAATTCTGAATTTAAGTTTAAGGCCACAGATAAATTGGTGCAGCTTAGACATGTTATTCCAGAAATGTTACACTTGGCCAATAAAAAAAAAATAACATGAAATCCTGAAATTCACAGGTAAATGGATGGAAAGAAAAAAATCATCCTGAGTGACATAACACAGACCCAGAACAACAAATGTGGTGTATGTTTGCTTATATGTGGATATAAGCTGCTAAGTCAATGACAATCATGCTACACTCCATAGAACCACAGAGGGTAGGTTCAGAGTAAGGTACAGGGTTGGGGCAGATGCATCTCCTTAGGAAAAGGAAATAGGATAGATAGGGAGGCTGGGGTGGGGGTGGGGAGCTGGAATGAGAGGACCAAATCGGGAGGGGGATGAGTTAGGGAATATAGGGAGAGACAGCTAAAGTTAAGGGGCATTTTAGGGGTACTATAGAAACCTAAAAGAGTAGAATCCTCTTAAAATATGTACATTTGTGAAGGAAATCTAAATGATATTGCTAAATCATGGGAGAGACAGAGTCCTTACTGGCTCTCTTGTCACCAGATGAAGCTTACATTACCAGGATTGGGTTCCATCCAGTAGAGAGAGTTGAATGGTTCTTAATGAGGGAGGGTTGGGCTGGGATTCTGACCCCTGATAATGTCAGGCTAGTTTTGATCTTCACAGCTTGATGCCCTGAAGTGTAGTACAAAGAGGAAGGGGCTGCTCCTTAATGTCCCCTAGCTGTGAGGTAGTTCCACTTACCCCTGTAAAATGTAGTGTCATCCGACCCCCAACGCTAGTCGAGTTATTTTGAGAAGCCAGTTGGGAAACATGGCTGCCAAGAGTTTAAAAGTCTAACTAATTGGATGTGCAATGGTAGGGTAGGTGCCGGCAAACGCTCTCACAGTGTGTGGCATCCTGCTATTACCCAGGTACCCGGGAGACAGAAAATTAAAGGAGCACTGATTGCCAACTACCTAGGGTCTCTTTTGTGACCTTCAAGTTTTAGACTGACAGAATAATAATACTTTGCTTCACACTAAGTGTGAAAAAGGGAAGCTGAAATGTTGAACTTGTCAACTTGATACCACAACCAAAATAATACTCATTCAAACATACTTATTGTAGGCAACTTTTGGTTTATAGAAAAGTTTTGATTGTTTTCCTATCTATGCTACATTTGGGACCTTAACAATAGATAGTGGCACATTATTGTGAACACACAACAGGATTCACTAAGATGGCCTTGCTTTTTCCATCATGTCCCCATGATCATTAGGCAGGACAATCTGAAGATTTGCAGTGTACTACATACTGATTATTGGTAATGCCAATGTATTGTAAACTTGAAGGTAGCATGAATCATAAAAGGTCTTATTAATAAAAACACGGGAGCCAGATATTGGGGTGAACGAGAGAGACAGAATAAGCCACATCCTTACCTTGCCAATTCCTCAGCTGATTTTGTTTCCTCAGACTGAAAGCCTCTGAGTCCTCACCTGAATGGATCTCAGCTGAACTACTGCTAAAAGCTAAAAGCTTATCCAGCTCTAGTTTCTGATTTTCACGCCTTATAAACCTTTCTGCTTCCTGCCATCACTTCCTGGGATTAAAGGAGTGAGTCACCATGCCTGGCTATTTCCAGTGTGGCTTTGAACTCACAGAGATCCAGATGGATCTCTGCCTTCAGAATTCTAGGATTAAAGACGTGTGTGCCACCATTTTCTGGCCTCTATGTCTATCTAGTTGCTGTTCTGTTCTCTGACCCCAGATAAGTTAATTAGGGTACACAACATATTGGGAGATACAATATATCAGCACACTTGAAGATTGCTAAAAAAATGATAAATGTCCATTCCATAAGTAAATGATAACTATGTGAAGCCATACCTATGATAATAAGCTTGATTTCACATTTTACACTATATTTGTATTTTGAGACATCATGTTATTTCCTAAAAATATATACACTTTCTACTTGTAAATCAGGACAGTTTCTAAAAGTCAAGGAGTGAAACAACCCAAAGTTTGATCAACCAAAGAATGAATAAGTAAAGTGCTGCACGTCTGTGAGATGTATTATTATTCATTCATGAGAAGAAACTCAGTTTCCTTTTAATGAATGGAGTGCCTTGTAATGCTGCAAGAGGAATGGCATCAGAACATGATGCTAAATGAAAAGCTGCAGTCATAGAGTGCCGTGGGCTATGTGAGTCAGTGAAGAGGAAGTTGCCCGAATAGGTAAAGCTGTGGATGCAAACTGAGAGGCTGAGGACTCCCATGTGGCACGTGGGTAAAAGCAGAACAAGCCACAGCTACCTCACCTCGCCAGTTCCTCAGCTGATCCTGTTTCCTCAGACTGGAAGCCTCTGTGTCCTCATCCAGAATGAATTTCAGCTGAACTGCTGCTAGAAATCCTGAAAGCTTAACCAGCTAAAAGCTTCTAGTTCCTGGTCCTCACGCCTTATATATCTTTCTGCTTTCTAGCACCACTCCCTGGGATTAAAGGCTCGCTTTCTGGGATTAAAGGCGTGAGTCACCATGCTTGGCTGTTTCCAATGTGGCCTTGAACTCACAGAGATGCAGAGGGATTTCTGCCTCTGGAATGCTAGGATTAAAGGCGTGTGCTACCACTGCCTGTCCTCTATGTTTAATATTGTGGCTATTCTGTCTCTGACCCCAGATAAGTTTATTAGGGTACATAATATTTTGGGGAACACAATACCACCACACTCAGTCATTCTTTCTGAGGGTTTTTTTTTTTTTTTGACTTGTCAACTCTGGTTCCTCTGTCATCTCACCCAAATATTTCTGTCTCCTTTCTATTTGATTCTTTTAAGCGTGTTCCTTAGGAGTGACTTATGATGGGCTGGAGAGACGGCTCAGTGGCTGAGAGCACTTGTTGCTCTTGCAGAGGCCCCAGTTCAGTTCTGAGCACACCCGGTGACTCACAGCTGTCCATAACTACAGTTCAGGGGATCCAGCACTCTCTTCTGACATTTCATACATACACATTTATAAAATAAGTACTTCTAAATTTTTTAAAAAGTAGTTCTGTTCTTTGTCCATCATAAAGTTCCTTGAAGTCTCCTCTACTTTGTAGTTTTTCATACAGTTTTTAAACTTTATTTTGTCAAGGTATTATTTGGTTTGGAAATGGATATTAAGTTCAATGAATATGTTTCAGAACCATTTCTCCAGTCTCCTATTTCGGAGCATCCTTCAGGGCCGTGGCTGGCAGCATGCAGCATACCGAGCCATGTGGCTCATTTCTGTGTCTCGTCGGATGCTACTACAATAATATCTCTTCTCCCTTTAAGAATAACTTTTTATTTTTGTGCCTTAAGTAACGCACGTTTCACTGTTGGCTTTCCTGTGTCATGTTGTGGAATATTACTTTACCTGTGTAAAGGTGTGTTACATTTGTTCATGTTTTGGAATATTACTTTACCTGTGTAAAGGTGTGTTACATTTGTTCATGCTGCATTTGTTTAATTATGTAAACATGTGTTGCTATGTTACCTCACCTGCCTAAGGTACCTGATTAGTAGGATAAAAAGGTGAACCGCCAATAGGTAGACAGGAGAGGGATAGGTAGGGCTGGTGGGGAGAGAGAAAGGGGGAGCCAGCCAGGCAGACACGGAGTAGGACATACAGAATCAAGGAAAGGTAAAAAGCCCCGAGGCAAAATATAGGAGAAGAGAAACAGATTAATTTGTTACGGGAGCTAGTGGGAAAAGCATAAGCTAAGACCGAGCATTCATAACTAAAAATCAGTCTCCATGTCGTGACTTGCGAGCTGGTTGGTGGCCCAACAGAAAGCCCTGTCCCCTTAGCACCCTGGCTGTTCCCAAGTCTCGGTTCCACTTTCACTCACGGATTTCTGTTGAAAACTGAGGTTCAGGGAGAGTTGTCACATCAGTGTGCAGATGACCCAGCATTCTCAAAGCTAAACTTCAGTGTTCCCCATGAGACGTCCTGATTGCTGGGTTTAATTTTGCTTTGTTTGCTTGTTTGTTTTTGGCTTTAAAGGACTAGATTCGGAAATCAGTGTTTCTATTTTGAAAAAAAAAAAGCCTTGCCCCTTTAAGTGAACATTAATTTCCAAAGAGTTACTTTATTTGTAAGTTCCTGATGACATACTAAATAACTTTAGTGGTTTTGTTTTTTTTTAAGATGTTTATTTATTTAGTACCTATACAGTCTTCTGCCTGCATTACCTGCAGGTCAGGAGAGGGCACCGGATCTCATTATAGATGTTGTGAGCCACCATGTGGGTGCTAGGAATTGAACTCAGGACCTCTGGAAGAGCAGCCAGTGCTCTTAACCTCTGAGCCATCTCTCCAGCCTCAACTTTAGTGTTTATAAGAAATAATGAGAGACAGGCCCAGCAGGAGCCTGCTGAGGTAGAAGGGCCCAGCGGCGGCAGCCGACAGGGACATTCAGGCCGGTGGTGGCCCCCAGAGGCAGACAGGCCCAGGGACGGAGACAAGCAGACGCAGCTTGGAACAGGGATG